ATTTATTCATGAACTCAGTAGAGATTTTCCCCCCATGTAAAGTTACTCACATGCTTGTTTATAAGTTTGTAACCTAAAGCCTTGTCTATGCACAAAAATTATATTGTGTGTTGGTACGATTAAAGTGATACAACTCTCCTTGTTTAGATTCAATTATATTGGTATGAAAGTGCTTATACTGGTATAGTTTATTTCCATACCATGTGAAAGGAAATAAGCTATACTGGTATAAAGGCACCTTTACACTGGTATAGCTGCATCCACACTACAGGTTGTACCAGTATAATTATTTTAGTTTAAAAATATTCCACACGCCTAATTGAAAGTTATACCAGTACAAAATCTGTGTGGGTGTGAACTTTGAAGCCAAATTCTTCAATACAGTTGGTTGGGTATAAACAAGGACAGAGTTGGGGGGCTGAGAGCAGGATGGGTCTAAAACAAGTGGTCAGATGCAAAAGAGATGGGTAAAGCTGAATCGGAAATGGAAAAAAAAGTAGACTACATTTTTAGATTGTTATAAATACAATTATAAAAAACACTCATGAATAGTTAGTTTTTCAGATTACAGTGCTGGCTAACAGTTCCCCTACACCTGTAAACCCTCCCTGAGCTCTTTCCCGGGGCAGTATGACTGCTTTTTCCCAACACTGACCTGCATCTAATGGTCCAAACTAGGTTGAAATTAACCTCAGTTTTCACTGCAGAAGATGTGAGACATTCTTTTTAGGTGACAAATCTGAGGAACCATCTCAGATTGAGGTGTCAATAGAGGAAGTTTTGGAACAAATGGATGATAAACAGTAATAAGTCACCAGGACCAGATGGTGTTCACCCAAGAGTTCTAAAGGAACTCAAATATGAAATTGCAGAACTAATAACTGTGATATGCAACCTATTGCTTAAATCAGCCTCTCATCCAAATGACTGGCGGATAGCTAATGTAATGTTGATTTTGAAAAAAAAGCTCCAGAGGTGATCCTGGCAATTACAGGCTGGTAAACCTAACTTCAGTACCAGGCAAAATGGTTGAAACTATAGTAAAGAACAGAATCAGACAGTGTGGGTATGTCTACACTGTAATTAGACAGCCGTGGCTGGCCCCTGCCAACTGACTCAGGCTCTCAGGGCTTGGGCTGCAAGGCTGTTTAATTGCATTGTAGACTTCCAGATTTAGGCTGGATCCCAGTGTGACGGGTTGGATCACAGAAACCCCCTTGGGAACTGCCAACTGATGTGCCAAGACTACTTCTGCCCCTGCTTTCCCTGCCAGCTTGGGACTCCAGCACACTGTCTTGTTGAGCCAGACATGCCAGTCTGCTCCAACACAGACCCAGGGTCTGAACCACATGCCCAAAGCTACAGACTTAACTGAAAGCAACTTGAGAAGTGTTCCTGTCTTTAACACTCAGATGCCCAACTCCCAATGGGGTCCAAACTCCAAATAAATCTGTTTTACCCCAAATAAAGCATATACAGGGTAAACTCATGAATTGTTTGCCCTCTATAACACTGATAGAAAGATATGCACAGCTGTTTCTGCCCCCCAGGTATTAATATATACTCTGAGTTAATTAATAAGTAAAAAGTGATTTTATTAAATACAGAAAGTAGGGTTTAAGTGGTTTCAAGTAATAGCAGACAGAACAAAGTGAATTACCAAGTAAAATAAAATAAAACACACAAATCTAAGCCTAATACAGTAATAAAACTGAATAAGGATAAAATCTCACCCTCAGAGATGTTTCAATAAGTTTCTTTCACAGACTCGATGCCTTCCTAGTCTGAACACAAATTCTTTCCCCTGGTACAGCCCTTGTTCCAGCTCAGGTGGTAGCTAGGGGATTTCTCATGATGGCTCCTTTTTTTGTTCTGTTACACCCACTTATATATCTTCTGCATAAGGCAGGAATCCTTTGTCCCTCTCTGGGTTCCCCCCTTCCTTCTAAATGGAAAAACACCAGGTTAAAGATGGATTCCAGTTCAGGTGACATGCTCACATGCAGGGCCGGCTTTAGGAAGTGCGGGGCCTGATTCGAATACCCGGCAGTGGTCCGGGTCTTCAGCGGCACTTCGGCGGCGGGTCCTTCACTCGCTCCGGGTCTTCCGCAACACTGAAGGACCCGCCGCCGAAGTGCTGCCGAAGACCCGGACCGCCGCCGGGTGAGTAAAAATTAAAAAGGCACCTAAGTTAGGCGCTCTTCTTTAGGGTGCGGGTCCCTCTTAGGCGTGGGACCTGATTTGGGGGAATCGGCCTAAAGCCGTCCCTGATCACATGTCACTGTAAGACTTCATTACCCACTTGCCAGCACACAGGTATACAGGAAGACTTACAGGTAAAACAGAGCCATTTACAGTCAATTGTCCTGGTTGATGGGAGCCATCAAGATTCCAAACCACCATTAATGGCCCACACTTTGCATAATTACAATAGGCCCTCAGAGTTATATTTCATATTTCTAGTTTCAGATACAAGAGTGATACATTTATAGAAATAGGATGACCACACTTTGTAATGATACCTTACAAGAGACCTTTTACATGAAGCATATTTTAGTTACATTATGTTCACACTCATCAGCATACTTTCATAAAATCATATAGAGTGCAACGTCACACCCAGACTCTAGGACCCTGCGAGGTGGGCCTCAGAGCTTGGGCTGGACCACTGGTCTGACCAGTATTGGTCCAGTATGGCTGTTCTGATGTTAAAACTGTTGGACTCTCCTGCTATGAAATGTTAGTGTCCAAAAAATGCTTAATACACCTCTACGCCGATATAACGCGACCCGATATAACATGAATTCGGATATACCGCGGTAAAGCAGTGCTCCAGGGGGGCAGGGCTGCACACTCCGGAGGATCAAAGCAAGTTCGATATAACGTTCGGTTTCACCTATAACGCGGTAACATTCTTTGGCTCCCGAGGACAGCTTTATATCGATGTAGAGGTGTATGATAAACTTATATTTTGTTTACCTCTGCATTTTGTTCCTGCATACTTCCCTGCTATTGCTCTAAAGTTACTTCTAGTTGTGTTTAAAGCACATCTCATTCACAGAACAGAACCATTCCCTTTCCCTTCATTGGGAAAGCCCAGGACCAGACCTGTCCAGGACAACTTAAAACAGTGTTTCTCAAACTGGGGTCGTTGCTTGTGTAGGGAAAGCCCTTGGCGGGCTGGGCCGGTTTGTTTACCTGCCCCGTCCGCAGGTCCGGCCGATCGCGGTTTCCAGCAGCCCCCATTGGCCTGCAGCGGTGAACCGTGGCCAGTGGGAGGCGCGATCGGCCGGATCTGCGGAAGGGGCAGGTAAACAAACCGGCCCGGCCCGCCAGGGGCTTTCCCTACACAAGTGGCGACCCCTGTTTGAGAAACACTGACTTAAAAGGTATTGTCAGGGCTCCAAATATATACTTTTCCTTGGCTTTACCACTTAAGAATTTTATCAAACCAAATTATTCTACCTCTGATAAAAGGGAGAGATGCAGGAAAAGTTAACCTTTTGGACTGTAAGTTAATAATGAAAATGGCTCCTGAAAAGCATCTATATTTTATAATTCACAAAGGTAAAGTCATGATACATTGTGTACTTTAAATAAAATCATTACAGTAATGAGATGGATGTAGCAATATGACTGTTTAGAAGTGCACAATGACTTTGCAAGTATGGTACAGTATGAAGAAAAAATACTTGCTAGAAAAACACATCATGATACCAGAGAGACATTGCATGAAACAGCTAAACAGAATTTTTAGTAAACTTTGTTTAGCTGTTTTGTGCTAAACAGCTTTCTGGTGTCGTGATGCATCTTTCTGTCAAGTACTTCTCAGAGAAACTACTGGTTAGGAGCAATGCAAGGGATAACACATTTCATTTATGAAGAAAGAATATAGATAATGAATAATCTTCTAGGAACACTTGGCTTCTGAAACAGAAATTTCTAACTCCCCTTTTTTAATTTATCTTTTAGCTCAGGAAGCTAAAGATACCATGCACTTTTTAAATTGGGAATGGAAATCTCTACAACATCATAACTGTCCTTTTAGTTCCCTTTTAACAAAAAAGATCTATGTAAAATAAGAATATAGATTAATTATGTTCTCAGCAACCTGTTCTGAAAGCTGTGGCTAAAGAGTTAATACCTCTTTCATGATACTGTACTTTACTAGTTCCCTTTTTCTTTATGTGTTATAGTCTCTGTGGTATTAATCAATTACAACTTAATTAATCAAATACAATATATTTATATAATGAACATATGATATACATTTTTAAGTCTGTGAGGGGAAAAAGCATTGAGAAGCTGGTTGAGGTCTATGAATAGTGGAGATGAACGTCTGGTAGCCAGTGAATGCGGTAGATATGAAATAGATCTCATAGGTCTTTCAACATGTTTTATCTTCAAGGGATGCACTAAAAATGCTGCTGCTTGGATATGAAAACTCTTCCTCTTTCCCTTCAGATTGTTAGTAATCAGTAATTACGTACAGTATAGTAGGTTCCCCCACCCCCCAAGGCACCAGTCAGGATTGAGACTTCACTGCATTGGGAGCTGTACAAACACAGCAGGAGAGACACTGGAGTGCTTAAATAAAACCATATTCCTTACTAAATATTTTCTCACACTAGTGCCTGGCATATAAAGTGCCTAAGTGGTCTTTTGCATAACAGACTGCTGGCTAGAGGGAAGCCTTCTAGAAAAGCTTTCATAAATACAAAAAGCACTCTAAGACTTCAAATAACTGATTTTATTTATGCAGAGAGAAAACAAAAGACTGAGTTTTAACAAAAGTTCTTCTTGCCAAAGGGGAAGAACTGTTAACAGACCATGTAGCCTCTTGGTGTTGCTATGGAAAGAATTGTCTTGGATGTAATGCTTGTTGTTTTCTTTCCATGTGTGCAGGATGTTTTTGTCATGAAGAACCCACTTGTGACAATGGGACTGATCACAATTACTAGAAATTGTTTTGCTCTGAAGACCTGGCAGCTTTTTAAGATGCCTTCTACCTTTGGTCTAAAAGTAATCATCTGAAATAGTCTAATTTTTAAATAATGACGGTGCCCTTGAAGCTATCAGTCTCTTCTGTTACGCAGCCTACGAGTTCCATAGACAAATGATTACAGAATAAGCAGTGCAATAAGCTTTTCTACATTGAGACACTATTTTCTATTATTGTTAACAGTCAAGAAGCAGTTTGCCAACCGACTGAAGACCACAAGAATCTAGTGCTGATTTGTATTGTAATGGAGGGATACTTCTGTAAAGTAGCTAGAAGATCTGGGAGTAGAACATTTAATATTTCTGTACTCTCCAGCCTACTATAATGTCAAAAATGAGTACCAACTGGACAGCCAACCTGAGCTTTGGAGCATCTACAGATCCTCATGAGCCAAGAACTGGACTCTCTAGAACAGGGCACACCATAGTGGCTGTTTTCCTTGGATTTATCTTGGTATTTGGCTTCTTGAATAACTTGATTGTTCTCATACTCTTCTGCAAGTTTAAAACCCTGCGCAACCCTGTGAACATGCTACTGCTGAACATCAGTGCCAGTGACATGTTAGTGTGCATCTCTGGCACCACACTCAGTTTTGCATCCAACATCCACGGCAGATGGATTGGAGGAGAGTATGGTTGCATGTGGTATGGCTTTGTCAATTCCTGCTTTGGTAAGAGTTTAAAGATTTTGTCTTACACTATTATTTGTAACATGGTGGATGTGAAACGTGTATGTGTGCCATCAGTGCGACTAGCACAGTTCTAAGACTTCCGGGTTTCTAAGACCACACGTACCACTTTGGATTACACACCCCTGCAGTATTTGATGTATAGTCATGCTCCCATGCAGCGTATTTTCACCAAATGTGGCCTCCCTAGCCCCAAACTGATGCTCTACTGATGGTAAACATCCAAGGCAGCCATCTTCCACTGGGCAATTGCCTCTTTATCACAGTGAGCTGTCAATAGAAAAGTGGTAGTGTATAATTAAAGTGTATTTTTAGATTGTCTGAAAATAGATTCTCAGCACTAAGACTGTCTTGTTTTTCAAAAACATATATCCAGGTCAGCTTGTCATCTTGCTCTGCCTGTCAGTTCTGTTTTTGTGAGCCACCAATGTATTGAAATATACAAGAATTCTGTTCTCTGGATTACTTGGAGATCAGGTTTACTGTATACTTTATGTAAGGGGACTGTCCCCTTACTAACATTCAGTGGGGGTGTTTTGGTTGGCTTGCTCCCAGTACTAAAAGAATGGGGAGAGGCCAATACTCCAGGTCAGCCTGATTGACAGGGCGGGCAGGCTAATCAGGGAGTCAGGAGGCCAGGGCGGGTCCCGTCCTCCGTGTGAACTGGAATTGCCTGGGTCAGACAGAGTGGGGCCGAGCTAAGGAGAAAGCAGGCTCCCAAGCTGATCTGGGGAGCAGAGCCGGGCCAGATCCAGAGGGGCCAGAAAAGCAGCCCCGGAAGCAGGTCAGAGCTGGGAGCAGAGTCATGGAGGCAGCCCACAGAGCAGACCTGTGCTGGGAGCAGGGCTGCAGCCACAGCGCCAGAGGGGCCAGAGAAGCAGCCTGGGGGCTGGAGGCAGAGCAGCAGCATCAGTGCTAAGGCAGAGTGGAGCTGGAGCTAGAACAGTGGAGTTGGGGCTGGAGCTGGAGCAGTCTGAAGCCGGGTGCAGTGAGCAACTGGGGCCAGCCAAGGGGGGACCCTGGGCAAAGGGCCCAGCGCAGAAAGACACCCCCAGCCAAGGGTCCTTGCAGGCCAGACTGGGAGGGGAATCTTAACCTAACGGGGAGCTGACGCTGGGAAGAAGGCCCAAAGCCCGGAGGTGTGTGGCCACCACCAAAACAAGTGTCCAACCCGGAGCATCCCTGCAGCACTGCCAGGGCCTGAGAAGAAGACCTGGGATCTACAAGGAACAGACTCTGCACTGCCCTGACGTTCCAGAGACACTGTTTGTAATGTTCCCTGCCACAGAGCGGGGTGATGGGATTAAGGGATTAGCAAATGTACATGCAAGTGACATTTGTAGTGCATTTGGCATGTCACGTCTCTTATCTGTTATCAGCTCTTCTGTTGTGGCACTGGAAATAAAACAGAAATAAAAGGATGTCTTAGTTATAATCTGCTACTGTTGCTCTTTTCACTCAAAAGGAAAAGAGAGACAAAACTACTTATTGAACAGTTTTTCTAGATAAAAGGAACTGATTACATTAAAATTTACCTAAATAGCCAAACTAGTAGTGGTAGAGTTGGGGAGGAGTCACTCAGCTCATATTTAAAGTTACTGTTTATGTGTAACCCCAAATTTACTCCAGTGCTCATGAGAGTTTCTGATGCACTCTTAATGTCAAAAGGACAGTTCTGCAGGAAAATGTCTAAGAGCTCGGTTCATGAACTATGGTTACCTACAACGGGCCTGATCCCATCAGATGTTGAGTAGAGCTGGTCATGAATGTTCAAAATTCACAATTTGACACTTTTCCCATTGAGATTTAGAATTTTTGGGAAAAAGCAAACAATGTATGTGGGGGGTGATATCCACTCAGATTCAATTTGCCCTGCAACTTTGCCTACCTCACTTGCATTCTGCCCACTGACCCCCAGCTTCTGGGGCAATCTCTGACATTTCAATCTGCTGGGCAGCTTCAAGCAACTCTCATTTAAACAAAAACACCCTCTGACCTCACACCCACATCATTCAGGCAAAGACATATTTCCTTCTTTCACCAAATGTATGTTTTATTGCCCAAATTTAAACCTCCCCAAGGAGTAGGATAGGCAGTATTCAACCAGGGACCATTTTAATGTCTGATATCCAGTGACCCATCAGGATTATAAATTAAATAGGAGCTTTATGCCATTGGAAAGATTAGATTCTTCCCTGCCTAGTAGAACCCAGCACTGGATTCAAGACCTGGAAAAATGAGATATTGGACTCTGAAATGAAGACAGTCTTGTGCATAGAAAAGTTTTTTGGCTCACTTTTACAGATGTTTACAAATTACTAGCTTTTGATTTTTTTTTCTGAGCTCTGAAGGGATAAAAAGAGTAGAGTTCCAACAGTTAAGAAAAACCCTCAAATGTTTCTAAAATAGTTTTGTTTTTCTCCTGTGAATTGTATGGGTGTATATCAAATACAGGATAGTGTGGTATACAGGTTGTATCAGCACACAGGGAGGGACATAGGAATTGCCATACTGTATCAGACTTCTGCTATACCAGATCATACCCTCTAGTCCATTATCCTATCTTTGGCCCATATTCAAGAAAGCACTTAAGCACGTGCTTAAATTCATCTCTATTCAAGTCCAAGTTAAGCATGTGCTTAAGTGCTTTCCCAAATGGGAATCCATCCCTGAACCAGGGCTCAATCAGAAACACCAATTATGGAATAATCTGCCGGTAGGAGATGTTTCTTTTTAATCACGTCAAGTTAGTGGTTGGTTTATGCCCTGAAGTCAGAGTGCTATTTGGAAAGATAGATTTGTGATTAAGACACTGGACTGACTCTGGAGCGCTGGATTCTATTCCTGGGGTCCACAGCAGACATTCCTTAGTGACCTTGAGTAAGTAATTTATTCATGGATCATGTAAGCACTTCTGCACGTTAACTTTATGCACTTCACATGTGTAAAGCTAAGGTGTGTCTCTAAAATAGGGGCCTTAACCTCTCTCAGCTCTCTGTCCCTGATCTAGCAAAGTACTTAACACCTCCATCCAGTGTCAAGAAAAAAGTTGAATTAACTGTGTTGTGGGGTAAAATTTTGTACCCTAAATGCATTTAGAAACTAAGAACAATTCTTTAATGTTTAAGGGATGCCCCCCCCAATTTATTTAACTCGCAAACTGAAAGAACTAGAAGGAGTCTCTTTCAGTGAGAGTCTATATGCAATTTTCACACATCAGCATCAATGCGGAGTGGTCAGCACATACAAATTCACTGTATTCTTCGCATTGCTTGTGGCTCTTCCAGTCAGCTGATCATGGCAGTGGACACTATCATATTTGACCGAGTTTGGTAGGTGCTCCCATGGTGGCTGTTTTTCGATGGTAGCCAAGGGTTGAGAGTGCTGCTTTGATGGACATGGTGAGATGTGTATAAAGAGAGGAATCCTTGATAAGTGTATCTATTAGTTGTTCTCCTGGATTGAAAATGAACAAGCACCTTCTTTGTCTTGGCTGAGTGTGTTGCCAAGCAGGATTGTTGCCGACCCAAAAGATGAAACTTCCTATGCCAGCAACATCAAGCATGTTGAAGAAAAGAACCACTGGCCACCTGTTTATTTTGTACCTGCAGGAGAACATTCTTACAAGATGGTTCATGTTATCAACACCACTTTTAGTGTCATTGTAGTGGAGAATTATGTGGGGTTTCTTTTTGTCTTATTCTACAACCTTGTCATGATGCATCATCAATAGCATCATCACCAACTTGCCCCTCTTTGGAACACTGGAAACCAGGGTGCATGGCCCAGCAAAGCTGAACACGGATGACAGTTTTTCTCTGCTGCAATGTGGATGCATCTCACTAGATATATCTGGCTTTTTTTCATCAGATTGTTCCAATATAGATCTACTCAACGAAAATTTGACCTTCAACACGCTGAATACTAGTGAAGAAGTTATCACGAACTACGTCTTCCAGTCTTATACCAGGGCTGAACATAAGCTTCTTATTGTCTGAACACAAACTTGATGATAAATCAACAGAAATATGGTCTTCCTTCTCAGAGCAGCTCTTGATACAATCTGGCACGAAGTCACTATCATCTAATAGGTTGTCATCACATGGCAACTTGCTTTCAGAGTTGCAGATCCTTTTGATAAGCTCAGAAGCAGAATCTTATGCCCTTTGGTTCACCATCTTGAAATGCTCATCACAGAAAATACCCTCAAGAATCTCCTGAGGCTGTAGTGTTTGAAGCACAATACCTAGGCAGAAAATCCCTGCAAGAATGTTAGGTGAAGAAAACCAGCATCAGTCCACTCTGTGCTGAGGATACCTAACGTGCCCAGGTTTGAAGGGACCAACCTTCCTGGAGTACCTTCTATATTAGGGTGATTGTATGCAGCAATCACTGTCACTGCAATGCATTGTCAATTACCATATGCTAACTGTTGCAAGATACTCTCACTAGAAGCGAACGAGAACATGGAACTACTAAAAATACAGGATAACAGTGCAACGTGTGGGGTACATTTGTACCCCACATACATTTTTGATACAGAAAAAATGTTTTTCATATAGTCATTTTTTTTTGATGAATTGATTACATGTACTGAGGTGACAGTGTCCTAAAACAGCCTGGTTGAAGGGTTACTAGTTCATGAGTTATTGCAATATATATGCCTGCAGAGTACAACATTACTTCATGAATGTGAATGAGGATTAAGCATGTGCTTAATTTAAACATGAGTAGACTGCTCATATACTTAATGTTTAAATTAGGCACATGCTCAAAGTACTTTGCTGGATTAGGGACAGAATGCTCAGCACCGTGCAGGATTGACTGGTCTGTGCCTCAATTCCCCATCAGTAAAGTGGGGTTGATACTTCCCTAACTCACCAAGTATTTCGAGGCTAAATCCATCAGTGTTTGTGAGGAGCCCAGATACCATGGCAATATGCACTGTAGAAAGCCTATATATCAGTAATAAAGTTTGGGTT